ATATATATATATATATATATATATATATATATATATATATATATACAAGGTAACCGGCGTTCGGGACGGGCCGAACGCCCGACCCCGAACGCCCGAACGTATGGGACCCCTTGGGGATGCGACAATCTCGGGAAATGGGCCCGCTTGAAGGGGCCCGGCTGAACAGCAACAATCTCAAGTAGGCCCGCCTGAAGGGCCCGGCTGAACAGCAACTGATCAGTAGAACATCTCAGGCAAAGGGACCAGTCATAAATGCTGAAAGTACTGGGGCTGGACTGAGCCAAATCACCTGTGTAGGGACTGAACTGCAAATGCTCCCCGTGCGAGGGAAAGTATCACGTGCATGAGGTGATGCTGATCAGCGATGAAATAAATCAACGGGAGCGTGATGGCAAATCATCCCAGCTAGCCTATGCTCGGGCATATATGGGCTCGCACTCAAACGACAATATCCAGCCTGGGCGCACATGGGCGCACACTCTAACAGCAATGCCAAGCTTGGGCATGCACGGGCGCGCACTCTAACAGCACTATCAAGCTTGGGCGCGCATGGGCGCGCACTTTAACTGCAATGCCAAGCTCGGGCGCGCACTCTAACTGCAATGTCAAGCCTGGGCGCGCATTCAAATAGAGATATCGGGTCTGGGCACTCACGGGCGTGCAACTAAAATATAATATCTGGTCTGGGCGCGCGCGGGCGCGCACTAAAAAAAATAATATATGGTCAAGGCGCGCGCGGGCGCGCACTTAAAAATAATAACTGGGGTGGCGCACACTGGCGCACACTTAAAATATAATATCCGGCCGCATGCTCAATCTGTTGGTCAAATGATAATCGACTTTTTGCTTACTGTTTGCAAAACTTGGCCTTCTCTTAGGGCCAGACCACTATTGTCATCAACTGAGAGTTTATCAACAGAGCGTGCGCATACTCAAAATCAGCTATTTACTAAGCGCGCATGGCCCTCAAATATGGCGTACACACAACGCTCAGTTGAAAATGACACTCAGATATGGTGTGCTTACGGCGCATAATTCAGAAATGACCCTCAATCATGGTGCGCACTCAGCGCACAGTGGCGAATAGCACAAAGTTCAGAAAAGGCCCTCAATCAGGGTGCGCACTCAGCGCACAGTTGCGAATAGCACAGAGTTCAGAAATTGGCCCTTAACCAAGGTGCGTACTCAGCGCACAGTTGCGAATAGCACAAAGTTCTGAAAAGGCCCTCAATCAAGTACGGTGCGCAAGCTGCGCTCAGTTAGGAACACTGCGCACGGTTACGAAATGCCCAGATATGGTCCTCAAATACGGTGCGCACACTGCGCACAATTGCGGAATGCTCAGATATGGTCCTCAAGTACGGTGTGCACACTGCGCACAGTCGCGAAATGCAAAAGTCATATATGGTCCTCAAGTACGGTGCGCACATTGCGCACAGTCGCGAAATGCAAAAGTCAGATTTAACCCTCAGGTGTGGCGTGCAGGCTGCACATAGTTGCAAACTGCGAAAAACTTCCAATATGGTCTGTGCAGACTGTCTCAAAATCGACTTGTTTTCCAGTGTGGCTGTGCAGGCAGTCTCAAAATCGACCTGGTTCTCAGTGCAACTGCGCTGGCAGTCTCAAAATCGACTTGGTACTCAAAGTGACTGCACTTGCAGTCTCAAAGTGGACTTGGTTCTCAGTGCAATTGCGCTGGCAATCTCAAAATCGGCTTGGTACTCAGAGTGACTGCATTGGCAGTCTCAAAATCGGTTGGGTATTAAGTGTGACTGCGCTGGCACAACCCTCATCATACTTAACTCGGAGTTATTAAAGTCGAGTTTTGTCGTCCAATTGCGCAGTGTCGCACTTAAGTCCAAGTGCGCAGAGTCGCAGCGAGAAACAATATACTTAGTTTGAGTGCTTTGTAAAATCGGCTTGGTACTCAGAGTGACTGCACTGGCAGTCTCAAAATCAGTTGGCTATTCAGTGTGACTGCGCTGGCACAACCCTCATCATACTTAACTCGGAGTTATTAAAGTCGAGTTTTATCGTCCAATTGCGCAGTGTCGCACTTAAGTCCAAGTGCGCACAGTCGCAGCGAGAAACAATATACTCAGTTTGAGTGCTTTGTAACCAATCATCATACTCTGTTTGGGTGCCTATTGGCACAGTCAAATATTCATATTCGAATGCTCATTTGTAC